TGTTCATTCTTCATATGAACTCTATAGGAAGAGTTAAATTTTTGTCATATGTTTACTAAATAAATGGATGTTTTAGAAATTCTTTTTAAAAATGTGAAGCTTGAAAGGCATCCTGTGGGCTTGAATTGGAATACCCTTCTTCTGCAGCAAGAAATGTTTGTGTCAGCAGCCCTTGGACATTTTATTTCTGCAAATTTGATGGCTGAAAAATCCTGCCAGGCCAGGGAACATTCTGACCTTCTTTTGTGGAAAAGTAACCCTTTAGCTTTGTAAGCAGAGTTTCATGATGATGTCTGGAACCCGTTACACAAAAGAGGGTCCTTCTGAAGTCACTAGGTCTCTGGGAAGGGCTGGCAGATGGGCAGGGTAGAGGGGAAGAGTAGGTTTCATCTGTCAGAAGAAGGTGGCCAAGCTGGACCTGAAATAGATCAGAAACCAGTGCAGACGTCATGAAACAAGGAGAGGATGACTGTGCTCAAGGGCTCGGGGCTGCTTGTTTCAGGGATCAATCACCGCATAATTAACGACCTTAGAACTCAGTGGCTTAGAGTAGTGGCTATTTCAGGTGGTTTGGGATGTGGGCAGTTCTTTTTCACGTGTCAGCAAGTCACTTGGTGGTAGTCAGCTGATGGCTGGTCTGGTCTGCAGTCTGTTGTGGCGTCTCCCATGTGTGGTGCTGTAGCAGGTGGCTGGAAGGTGGGACTCAGCTGAGACTGGAGTACCTCAGCCTTCCCCAGCATAGTGCTCCAGGGGTAGTCAGGTTCTTACAAACAAGGGCGCTCAGGGTCCTGGGGGATCGGCAGAAGCTTCCGGGCTTTAAAAGTCTCAGAGCATCACTCTTACATCCTGTTGGTAAGCAAACCACAAGCCCTGAAGAGCAGCCCTGCTTTAGGGGAGGAGTATTAGATGCCACCTCTCAGTGGAGAAGTGATGAGTTCATATCCCTCCTTAACCTACCTTGCCGTGTTCCTTGACAAAAGGGCCACCAGGAAACTTCCAGGAAGAAAAAGCAGAGGGTGTTTGGTGTAAGAAACATAGTCAAACACTTTTCCATTTGGGGGCTAAGATCAAACAGTCGGAAGCGTGAGAGTACTTTTTCAGGACATTCTGGCTGCGCAGAGGTGGGTGTGGGAGTGGAGACTCAGGCTTGGAGTCGAAGGAATTTGCTTGATGGGCTTTGTTTTGAAGATGGTGAGTCACCACCAGCACATTCTGTGTTCTAGATGGTGGCTGTGTGCTTTTATGCTCCTGACTAACCTCTGAACTGATTGAATGCTGTTGAAATTCTGTTTTGTTTCTGATAGCAAAACTTTCTCCTGCCTTCTGCTTGTGGCTTACCACTGGGTTGTCTCCTTTAGTGGATGTGTTTCGTTTCAGGCACTGTCCCAGCTTCTGGTTTCTTTATTCTGCACATTTTTTTTTAGCAGCTTCATTCATTCTCATGGTTTTAACTGTCACCCATGCCAAAGGCCCTCCTGGATATCCACACCTACCTGTCCAGTTGTCTGCCAGGGTCTCCCGAGATACCCCTGCTAGCCCTGTTTCTATTTCTAACAGTGCCTTCACCTTGGCCAGGCCAGTGCCTCTGTGGTTTTCCCTTTGGCCTCACCCTGTGCGTGCAGACAAGGTGTAGCGAGTCTCTGACTCACGAGTGAGTCCGTAATCCAACAGTGAGTTTTCCGTGGTACACCTGGGAAGGTTCACCATGGGAATTCGCATAAGCCGGGGACCGTTGATGTGTGTGGGTCCCCAACTGTGGCTGTATGTGTGCATCACCTGTGGAGTTTTGGACCCACACCTGGGTTTTTGAATCAGAATCTCCCTGACTCAACTTTGCGTTTTTACAAAGCTTTCCTGGGGGTCTTAATGTTCCCCTAACCCTGGAAACAACTCTTAAAACTTAGTACTCTAACTCATTTTCACCATCATTGTTTTGTTTCCAGCTTTTGTAGTTTACTGTGGCTCTCATAACAGATTGTCGCAAATGTGGTGGCTAAAACAACAGATGCTTAGTGCTCACTGTGCTGGCGGCCTCAGTCTGCAGTTGTGGGGTGGGCAGTGCGCTCCTTCTGAAAGCTGCAGGCCTCGTCCTGCTCCTGCTGGCTCCAGGTGCACCTTGGGCTGTGAATGCGTCGCTCTGGCGTCCACCTCCATTTTGAGAGGGTCACTTCTGTCTGTCCTTGCCTCTGCCTTACAAGACACTTGCCTTGAATTAGGACCAGCAGCGTGGTCTCACCTAGAAATCCTTACCTGTTCCATCTGCAGAGAGCCTTTTTCTGAGAGGTCACACAACCCCGGTCTGAATATCCTTTTCACACAATCCCGGTCTGAATACCCTCCTGGCTGCATTGTTCTACCTACTGGTTATCCTGCCACTTGGACATAGATCTCTCGTCTACCCTGTATTGTGCACCATTGTGATTGCACCATAGATTCACTCATGTTAGCTGATGGCTCAACTCCTGCCTCCTTCCCCTCCCCTTAAAAAGCTGTGCTCCTTATCCTGGAGGATGAGGCTGTTCTGAACCGGCCCTGCCTGCCTCCTCTGCCACTGCTTCCTCAGGGACCGCTCTCTGCAGGCCTCCTTGCCTGTATAGGCCCCCGCCCTTGCTCCCAGTCTGTCCCCTGGCTTGGAGTCCAGACTGTTCCGTTGGTGTCTTCCCTTCCGCTGGTGTCTCCCCACCTCTCCTGGTGTGCTCTGTGAAGCTCGTCCTTCTTGTCCCATGAGTTTTATCACACTTGTTTTTGTGCCTTTCCCTCCTTCCCAGGAGAGGGCTGTGAAGGCAGGGAAGCTGATATTCATTGTCGCAGCTCCAGCACTTGGCACAATAAATATTGGATGAATGGCCATGCAGCTTAACCTAATTAGAAACTCATCTCAATGCTGGCTTTCCTACCACTACAATAATTATCTCTAGTAGGATTTTTTAAACCCCTCGTCAGTTAGATAGGGCATATGAAGTACTGGGCATCCTGTAAGTAGGCTGGCTTATTATTTGCTTGACCTGCAGTATTTTTGTACATGTGTGCAAGGCAATTTAAAGTGAAATGTTTCTGCCTGTGCTAAGGTTGACATTTCTTACACGCGGCCCCACCGTGTTGGAGGCTTTGAGTTTGTAAATAGCAGAGACCAGCATTATTGAGCTGCAGCTGAAAAGAATTTCACTGACAAGAGACCCTGACACACTGCTTGTCCTACACATCTTCATTCTTCACTTTCTCTGCTTCTTCCGCCGCACACAGATTGTGACGTCACCAGAGCTTGAGTGTTCACGTTTTGTAGCTGTAGCTGCCTACAGAGACGAGACAATTGTGTCTCCATCCGTTTGTATTTCCCAGGACGAGGCTGTCCTTGGCCAGCTTGGCTGTGTGCTCATCTCCCACGGGTCAGCTCCGGGTGGCAGGGAGGCTGTGCTCCTGTGTTTGCCGTGGGAGTTGAAGGACAGACTCAGAGAAGCTGTGCGGCCCATGAGCCGCTGGCCTGCGAGCTGGCTGCACTCTCCTGCATCACAGTGAGGGGCTCAGCAAACCTTGGCAGATCCTTTAGTTGCCGCCTCTGCCCGTCACTGTGAAAATGCGCTCCATGTTGTGTACTATCTTGGCTTTAATTAGTTCACATGTTTCCCTGATGTTAGAATATTTGTCTTGAGCTGATTGGTGTGAAATATCTCAAAACAAAGTGGGTTTGTGATGGTTATTTACTCATGGATACTTCACAGTAGTGATCATAAATTCATTTAAGAAAATCATCTATGCTTTTCTGGTGGTGCCTGAGGAAAAGGAGAAAAGTGAGACTTCAAATAAACTCTTTATTCTAGAGACATTTTTACATAGCTGACCTGCCTTTGTGATGGCAACAGATTGCAAACACAGTGGGAATAACTGCTGGTGCTGAAGTACAACCGTTGTCAGACTGCAGCTCCTGGCTTGGCTCCTCACATCCCCAGGCACCTGTGTTCTGGCTTTTGTAGTTCCCAGGAGGCTGATGCCCAGCTTCCTATCTTGCTGACTGTAAGGCCCAGGTCTGCTGGACAAGTCCTCAGCGCAGGGACAAGCCACCAGCTCTCCTGTCCTCTGACTTTGTTGTTCTGAGGGACCCTGGGACAGCTGTGTTTATCCATATACATTTTAAGTGATTCCTTTCCCTTTTAGTTACTGTCTTGAAGGGAGCCTCTGTCTGGGTAAAGGCAGATAATAGTCACATCTGTGTGGCAGTCCGGGACAAGGTCAGAAAGTTCAGGGACAGGTTAATACAGAATTAGAACATGTAGTTGAAAACTGAGCTGCTAGCTCCAATCCTGCATTCCTTTTAAACTCTTGTATTAGCTAAATACAAAAAATAGGCTTGAAGACATTATGTGTTTTCCTGGTGACTTTTAAAGAGGGTTTTTTTTTTTTTTTTTTTTTTTGACAGTTTGTAGCTGAAAACTTGTGTATAATTTGAGCAAGCTATTTTTTGCTCACCCAGCAGTGTAGGGTTCAAACAGAAATGAGAATGCATATAGAGAATTCACAACTTTTAAGAATCCAAGGAACTAAATTTGGTCTTCTTACACATAAAGATCTTACAGACCACATTAACATGATTTGAGAGTGAGAGATGAAGTTTAATTAGTATGCTGTTTGCTAGCTAGTTTGTTTAAAAGATTTCTCAAGTGTTTCCCTGGGTCCACTAGGATGCCTGGGGCTGAATTGAGCCAGGGCTAGTATGACCTCTGCAGAATACTCACTTCCCTGTTTTTCTTCTCTTTCAAAAAAGATTTGAGAGTCTGACTTCATAGAGTAGAGAACCTGTGATTACTTCAACATCACTATTAAATTACGTTTCTGAAAGTGATGCCAATTTCATTACAGCTGAAGTCTGTTTTGCAACCTTTTCCTTTTGTGGGGTGTTCAGTGGGCAAATCTTTATGACTATTCTTGTGTCTCCTTACTCTAATTTTCATGCTTAAAACTTTCAAAATCTGCAAGTAAATGGGTTCCTTTATCTGTTTTTTTAGGTACAATGGTGCTTTACCTAATGGAGATAGAGGACGGAGGAAAAGCCGCTTTGCCCTCTATAAGCGCCCCAAGGCTAATGGCGTCAAACCCAGCGCTGTCCACGTGATATCCACGCCCCAGGCATCCAAGGTAGGTGGGTCCGGCCAGGCAGGAGGGCCTTGGCCCGCAGCAGCTCACAGTTCCTCCTAGTCAGCTGCCCTCTTTCTTCCCATCTCATCCTCATCTTAGATAGAGCTTTTCAACCTCTCAAGGCTGGAAGGCTATTGGGAGAGGCTGTGCTACGCATGAGGGTGTGTGGGCAGCACCCCTGGCCTGGCTCCACTGTATGCCAGCGTCCTCCCCGCTCTGCTCCCACAGTGATTAGCATCTAAGCATGACTCACATACTGCAGCTCCTCTCCAGAAGGGGGCGGACTGCCAGCTCTCAATGTTAAGATCCACTGTGTTTGGACACAAAACAAAGAGCAAACTTACCAAGGTACAGTAGTTACAGTGAAAGACACGTGATGCCCTTTATCCTAAAGAGGCTTGCCTTACATCTTGGTATAAACCTCACAAAGATTTGTTGCTTTCTTCTGTTAATCAAGTGCAGTAGGTACTTCCATATAACCTACATGTACATGGGATTGAATATATGTGATAATTAGACTGAGAAACAAATAGAACTGATGTGAGAAGACTGCTATACCTGCTAATTTTCATATGCTTAAAGTGGTAAAATACTAATTTTTTTTAAACAAAGGGTTATTTTATTTCTTTCTAATATATAAGTGGGGAAAAGGTTGAGTTTCTGTTCTGGCTGGTGTAGTTTACATATTACACTTGCAACAGTTTTTCTATAATAAAATAAATTCTTTGATGTGTAATGCAGTTTGCTTTTGCTATGAAATAACTACATATGCCTGCAGTATTTCATATGAGGCAGCTAGTTATATGGGTCTAGCACCATGCATTCGGGCAGTTGGAATAAGTAAGCCTTGGTGCCTGTTTTTACTGGAAGCCTGGGTTTAGGAAGAAACACTGGCTCTGGAGGCAGCACGGTGCCTACTCTGTGTTACTGAAAAGCTCCCGTGGTTCTGCACAGGGCCCCGGAAGGGACAGTTCAGTTAGGAGTGGCCTGCACTGGTGAGGGCGTGAGTAGGTAAGGAAGTACCAAGGAAATGGAGAAAAAGATTAGTATTTTTTGGACAAATTTTGGCTAGAAAATAAACTAAAATTTTTAGAGTACAAAAGACACCTTTAAAAAAAGGAGAACAAAGGAAATCCAGCTTTATGAAAATGCTAAAAGTATAAAATAGCAACAAAATCTTGAGAGGTCAGAGAAATACAAGAAACATTTTATAGTCCAAAAATGTTGGATGAAGAAGGAAACCAAGACATGTTTTTAAAGTGTGCTGTGACCACTAAAATTGTTATGATAGATAGACATAGTCATTGTAATTTTGTCTATTTGTTGATATTTTTCTTCTTTTTCTTTCTTTGGGTCTGTATCTTTTTATATTTACTTTTAAAATGTCATAGAGGAGCTGGGGATTTAGCTCAGTGGCACAGTGCCTACCTAGCAAGCACAAAGTCGTGAGTTCGATTCCCGGTACCAGAAAAAAAAAAGCAAAAAAAATAAAAAATAAAAAGTCATAGACTTTGTATTAATAGGATGGCTGACATTTAAAAATTACAGGACTCTGGCTTTTATTACTCAGACATCATTTCATGGTGGAATATAAAAATTGGTTACTTTGGGGGGATCAGCGATTCTTCCTTCTTCCTTCCCCACTCCCCACTCCTCCCATTTGAACCTTTCATGTTTTACCTTAATGCCTAGATCTGACCATAAGTTGTTTAGGTTATTCAGCTTTTGTGATAGTTGTCTCTCTATTTAGACATATTATCCCCAGTAGGAAGAGTAGGGCAAATTGGACTTTGGACATGACCCCGCTATTTTGTAAAAATCTGGAATAATTAAGTCCCCAGGGCCTCCTGCTAGTCCATTTGTGAACTAAGCAAATCAGCCACAGGCAAGAGTCCTGTTGAATCAGGTAGCAATACTTTAAGCAGCAGAAATTCTGGCTAAAAAACAAGAATGGAAAAATTATTATAGAATAAGGTGGTAGCAGGGAAAGATTGAATAGCCAGGCTTCTTGAGAGAGGAGAGTTGGAGTGTTAGCAGGCTATAATGTGTTTATTCCTTCAAAGGTATGATCAAGTGACTTGACTCTAGCCGCATTCTCTCTCTCCTAAAGGTTTTGAATTTTCGGGAGAGAGAATCTGATAGGCTGAGCCAGTCTCCCAGCCATGGCCAAGGATGATGTGTAAAACAGGCATATTTATTGGGGGCTTATCTCCACCCGGTGCTGTCTGGACCTTGCTTGTCTTTCTGTGTCTACCATGAGGGTCTAGGATGCGTGAAATCAGTCTAGACAGTGAAGAGGTAATACATCTGTCTCCTCTGCCCTCACGAACCTAGAGTCTCAGTCACAAATCCCAGTCTGTCTGCTCCCTTATAAGCTTGTATCTGTAGCCAGCTTTGTCCTGCCTCTCTTGCTGACCAATCAGTCAGCTGTACTGCCCTTCTGCTTTGGAATCCCACCTGGTTGTGAACGAATCCCTCATGTACTTAAAGACTCTGATTGCAAATGTGCCTAGTACCTATTTGATTGGAGCTGTAAAAGTGAAACCTAAAAGGGTGTGTGGGTGAAAATTTGAGCACTGTTCCTTTTGGTTGGGGTGTTTCTTCCCTGTACCGTGCAGGAATAGCACAGGCACCCCATTGCTAGAGGCAGTGGCAACAGAAAAACCAGACCTTGTAGTCTCTAGGTAGATGGAGATGGCGAGCTTGTGCTGCTGTTGTGTAATCTCTATTTGTGCAGTTTTTATTTACGTACATATTTGCTTTTAGAATGATACACGTATTTCTCTCTGATTGCATAATGTGTTTTTTACAAAAATCAGAAGTCCTATTCCACTTCTGGCAGGTCTGTTACACAGGCATAAGGCCTAGCAATTTATTCACCTATTCATTTATTCAACAAATATTTATCCATCACCTTCCATGGCCAGGCGTCATGCCAGGTGCTGGATAGACTTCAGTGAGCATGGCAGCCTGCAGCTAATCACCCAGCACGTCAGAGACCGCGGAGGCTCGAGGAGCACATATGTCACTGCATGTGGAACAGGGGTACAGAGTGTAGTGGGACGCGTGGGGAAGGATCTGCACGCCTTGCCAGTGAGCTGAGCAGGAAGCAAGCTGACCATCCCGGGCCTGGCCAGAGGGCTCGGGGTTTTTTGTAAGGAGGAACACGGGAGTGTTAGGATGCAGTGAGAGTTTCAGCTGACATGTGTGAGCTTGCTTTGGTTTTTGTGGTATGACTGTTTTGCTGTGCTCTGTGAAAAATCACCTTTTGGGGATATTTTTACTTCAAAAAGTAACTGCATATCACTGCTCCAGTTAGCTGATGTCAGGACGGAAAGTATCAGTGGCTTGTGAGTGACAGTGTGGCGGGAGATTGAGGCTGCTCTTCAGCTGGCCTCTGTCCCTGCTGTGTTGCCCTAACAGTCTCCACACCTGGGTGTTTCATAAAGCACAGAGGTTTACGTGGCTTGCTGTTTGGGAGCCACAAGGCCTGAACGACATGGCAGCTGCATCTGCAGTGTCGCGGCATGGAGGAGGAGCAGAAAGGGATCTGGTCGTGTGTGAGCCAGGAGGCCAGAGAGCAGACCTCTTCTGTGTCCGCCTCGGTCCCGTGAGCCCCACCTCAGCCTCTCTGAGAGTGGAACCCTGCAACCTGCCTACCTCCTGAAGGACCCTGCCTCCACCTCTTAGCATGGGCAGGCAGGGCCCAGGCTTCCCGTGTGGCAACCAAGTCACAAGTACTCGCAAAGCCTTGCAGCCTGCGGGAGCCCATGTGGCTGCTGTATGGGCTGATACAGTTCTGAAGCTCATCGTGTCAGTGGGTGACCATGGGAAGGGGCACTTGTCAGTGTAGACCCATTCATTTGCTGAAGGTGACTTTGCAGAATGTAGCAAGGTCCACTCTGCTGCTCACCGTCTTCACAGCTGCGTCTGCAGGGATGAGAATCCTCGTGCACACTCCTGGGCAGGTGGAGCTTTCTGGGCTTTGGGGGAATCACCATGTTACCAGGATTCTCAGACTGGTTGCTGCTGCTTTTAAACAGTTGAGTTTTAAATGGTTCTTACTTGGGTTTCTTTCATAGTCATATAACTCTTGGGTTGGTAGTGTAAGGTGTTTGATAGTTTTAAGTTCAAGAAATAATTTAATGTAAATTACTATACATTTTAATTAGTTTAATTATTTTGTAAAAAGAACAACAGTGTTTTGATAAGACTTTTTAGATATAAACGTATTTTTAAATCTTTGAGAGAAGAAATAAAGATATAATGGTATTAAACTACAATCCAGAATATCTTTTTATATCACGCAGGATGCAAATCTAGAACAATTTGTGTTTCTGGAGTGAGAAGGAACTTGATTATTTCAATAAAAATATAAATGAGTCAGTTTCCAAACAATAAAATAACTTTTAGATCCTTTTCATCAATAAGTGTTTGATAAAGTAAAAAGTATTTATGAAGGACCAACATGCTGTGCAGTTAAAAACATAAAATATTTACTAGTATTTCAGAATGCAGTTTTTATAGGAATATAATATAACAGTTTAGATTTGTAGTCCTGATTGTTACAAAACATATATTTACTGAGATGGAAAACACTTTTTGGAAAACTTATAAATCAGGTGAATATAATTTCATCTGTCATTGACAAAGCTCCAACCATGTCGCATAAAAATATTTTAATAATTTACTGAAAATGCAATATTTAAAACTTTGAAGATAGTGTGATAGTTTTTGTTGATTTCATAGAGCTAAGGGAACATCTGACATAAAGCTTTGTCATCCTTGAAAAAAATTGTTTCAGGGAGAAATACATAAAAAACCTTACAAATTTTGCACAGATAGTACAATTACAGTGCAGAAGAGAAAGTTTCTCTCAGCTCAGGTCCTATGGAAACTATTTCTGGATGTTTCTGTATGATATTTTCTCACTTACTATCTCTGGGTGATTGAAAAATAAAATTGAGTAAGCCACTTAACAATTGTCTTTGAAAATTTTT